GAGAACTACATATATAAATGCTTCCTTTTTGGAAAAGGGTCAAAATATATTTAAACTTGTGTTCAAATTTCCTTGTATATGCAAAAAGATAGCCTGAAAGGATTCATAAGAAAGTAACAGTAGTGGTTACCAATGGAAACAGAGCCAATGAGGGACAAGAATTTGAGGGAGACTTTGTGTTGTGTGCCATTTATATAGTTCCTGGCATTTGAACTCTGTGACAGCATTAACTATTTAAAATTAAATTACAAGAAGTTTAGGGAGTGGAGTCCCAGCAGCTTTAGAGACTGTTTATTTAATCAACTTCTTTATAACCTTGTTCCCTTAGTCCCTGGGGCTAAACTCCTCACCCTTTCTTTTTATCTCTGGGCTTGCATAAGTTTTAACCCACAAGAAACATGTATTAAGTATGCTTAAATTACAGGGAACAGTGCTAGGTAGTGGGGCTCTTAAGGGACAAAGGAGACAGGACATAATCCAAGACAGAACATAGTCCCTGCCCTCGAAATGGTCCACATAGATTTTATCACCGTTTTTAGTTGCTAGGAGAATCAAAACATGTTTTTCTCTCTTCTCCTCTTCTCCCCCCTTATAATCTTGCAAAATGCTGGAAATACATTAGAATTCCTACTTAATTCTCCACCCCCTCATTTGGAAAGTGCTAAGGCTTAGAGCTCAGGAACTTTCCATCAAGCCCAGACTATAAGACCTCAGGCCAGGGCCAAGACTCAACCCGCTTCCCATGGGCCCCTGGTGCCTTGTGGAGGTTCTTGGACTTCTCAGATGCTGCTGTGACTGTGGTTTCCGGTTTCTTGAGTTCTCATACTCAGTTTGGTGCTGCAGATATCATCCTCCAGTTCCTGCTTTGGAAACTGACATGCTGAAGCTTGATGATACTCTGAGTCCATGGAGTCTGTGGGTCACAGCTAAGAGGCTTGCTTTTCTGTTTCAGTTTTCCTCCTTTCCCTTGACTCATTGTAAATGCCTCAGGGTTACATAAGGACAGAGTATAGAGGTTTGCTGGGTAGAAGCTGAAAAAGATCACTTTTCTAATTGATATCTAATCTCATCATGTTAGGTCTTTAGTTCTGCTTCTCTTTAGCTAGGGACACTTTGAATACTCTACATGACAAATCTAGCACGAAAGCAATCAGAAAATCATTTACACAGAACTTTGCAGTGTACAATACATTTTCTCACATGTTGTTTAATTTAAATGTGACGATGATGTGAGTGAGGGTAGCTATCCCATTTTAGAGTGGAAGAAAAGTGACACTTAGAGAGGGAAAGCATTCTCCCATGCAGGTACTGAATGCCTCTTGTGCTGCTGTATACTTTGTGTGTGTGCAGGATTTCATTGTGGAGCTATCTTTTTATGGGCTGGGACTACAGTTCTGAAATTGTTGGATACTTAGCAAGAGACAATCTACTCCAGATTAGCAAGAGGGATTCTACTCTTTGGAGTTGAGGCTGCTATACATTCATTTGTTCTTTCACTCATTCACTCAATCACAACTATTAGTTGAATGCCTATACTGTACAAAGAAAGGCTTTACCAAAGAAAGAATTGGGATGTTGAGACCAACTACTAGTGAGATTCTGGGGAAGATCTTAAGGCAGAAAGGAGGAGGCTGCTAGGGAGGCAGTGGTAAGACCTGGTCTTTAGACCAGAACTTTGCTAACTGGAGTTTTGTGGCTAGCAGTCAGTCAATGTCCAGTTTAGAAGAAGCTACCAAGCCAGGTTTTTGTGGGTTTTTTAATCAGAAAGAGCTTAACTCCCAAGGTACTTTATGAATTTATCTGTATCAAGTTATTTTTGCCTGGCCAGCACCTGTCCTCGTTTTTCCCATTTCGGGGAATATCCTTAGTGGCAGGTTGTTCCTCTCTTCTTTCCCTGACAGCCTGGTCTAATCCATGTGACCTGAGATTGACCAATCAAAAGCGGCTCTTGGACAAGACTTTGCCTCTTGAATGAGTGACTCAAAGACAAAGGGATGTTAGAATTGAATCCCAGCTGTGGTGTGTGGTGCTGCTGGCTACAGCAGCTGCTGCTTCTTGCTTCTTGTTGCAGCTGCTTGTGCACCCGATTGTTTTCCAAGCCTGGCCTCTTGTTGATTCTCTGGACCCCCAATATCCTTATATTACATTTCTCTTTTGCTTGTACTTGCAGCAGTGTCAGTGCCTGTACTTGTAACAGACCAAAAAATTTTAAACTTACAAATTGTGACGATTTCTTTACCAGGCTGTGAGCTTTTTGAGAACAGGACCTAGATGTCATTCTGCTCTGTGTTTTGGTGCCCGGCTCAACCCTGGGTCTCAATACGCGCAGGTTGAATAAATGAAAAAAACCTGGAGTTTTTCTGGGGCTATGGAGTCTGGGATTTTTGGCATTACTGTGGTTGTTGGGCAAAAAATTCTGTATAGGCTACAATAGCTACTAACATCTGAGCAACTTCATGTTAATAAATGTAAACTGAGAGGATCTTGCAAAGGCCCTTTCTTCCTGTTTTTGAGCACTTAGCTGAGTTCATGTAAGTGGTTCTGGTCCTCAAATTCCTGCAGTTGTTTTTTTCTTTTTTTAAATATGGAATGCTTCACTAATTTGAATGTTATCCTTGGGGCCACACTAATCTTCTCTAATTTGTGTATATGTGCTGCCAAAGTAAGCACAGCTGAAGCTTTTGTCCCTGGTTTCCCCAAACCTCTTCCTAAGCACTACCCTCTGTCTTAATTTGAGCTGAGGTAATGCCCTCTTCAGTCTCCATCCCTGATATGAAAAACACCTCTTCTATGTACTCAGGTCATAAAGAAGAATGTACCTTCCCCCCCCCCCCATATTATTCTCTTTCATTCTTTCCACAGATATACATGAAGCATCTATTATTCGTCAGGTTCTGACAATTCATTAGTTACAAGATAGTCCCTGACTCAAATTCAGGAAGTAGACAAATACAACCCAGAGAACAGACAAAATGAAATAATAACAAACCCTGTTAAGTGCTCTGTTGAAATTGAAGTGATAGAGAGTAATTGCCATGGGACAGGCATGTGATCGAGGGAAGCACTTCCACATAATGTAGTCAGAGAGGATCTCACTGAGGAGATGACAAGCAGACCTGCATGATGAAGAGTCAGCTTTGCAAAAACCAACAGCCTATTCAGGCAGCTGGAGAGAGCTTGGAAAGAGCCATAGGAACTGTCAGAAAGTCAGTGTGGCTAGAGGAACAAGAGTGGAGGATGCAGATGGAGAGATTGTTTTAAGCAGGACAGTGACATGATTAGATNTCCCTCGGTTGGGAGGGGTTGTGTGCCATGGCAGCGGTCGGCTGGCGCCATGTTGGGAGGTCGCGGCCGGCCTAGGCCTTGAAGGGACCGATCGCCATCTGCCCGAGACCTTTCTGGGGTTCATGTCACCCAAGAACCCTGAAACCTACCCGCCCGGAAAAGGGTGCGGTCGCCGAAATGGAGCCCATTTCTCGAGAACCAACCCCCACCGCCGTCATTAAAGACAGCCTAAGGGGTGCCCCTCATCCCAGAAAAGAACCAAACCTCAGAAAAGCTCTGAAAATACATCGGTCCGCGACGCTTCCTTACCTGTGCAGGCTTCCGGGCCCCTGCGGTACTCGTATTCGGAAACAGGAGTGCAGCTGCTGCTACTGCCGCCGCTGTTGCTACTGTTAAGCCGCTAGGCCCGGGCCGCGGTACCGCCCAGCCCCAATTTCGGGCTCCGAGGGCGGATAGGCCCGAGCGAATCTAAAAGAAACAATGGGATTAGAGAAGCTCGCGCGGGAGTGCAGGACGGCGGGTTCGGCAGCTCAGGATCCAACCCTGCGACAGCGTCCGCAGACTCCCTGAAATGGCGGCCTCTGCTTTCCCGTACTCACATTCACTAACACACATACACACACACAAACACACGGGGCCTCACAGAGCCCGCAGCAAGGGCTCTCGCGAGAAACTGCCCCTAGTTCCAGACCGAGTAGCCGAAATATCGCGAGATCGAAGTATGGCCCCAGCGACCATGGCCCAATCTCGCGCAATGATTGCGCCACAGATATTCCCATCCCCCATTCAGAGAGGCACCTTTGACTCCTCCCTCTAAATAGGCGTCCATATCTCGCGAGACCGCGCATGTTGCTAGGGCAAAGACAGTTGGTACACTTCCTGTCAATCTTTTGGAAAACTCAACGCTGAGTGGAAGTTGGTTGTCGCCACCTCCTCGCGGCATCTCCTCACTGCTATCTGAAGGTTTTATCCTCAGAGCTACCGCCCCCACCATTCCCTGGGCGTCCCTCTCGGATGTCTGTCAAGGTCGTCATAAGGCAACGTAGCCCATATGGCGATAGAATAAAACGAAAACGGTCATATATAGATTACCTGCCATGGGTGAAGAGGAAGTGAAAAGCATGTGAGAGAATGCGGAAGAGACCTTACAGGGGTAGAGAGCTAGGGCTGTAGAATAAAAATTAGATGTCCCAGCCTTTTGGAGCCAGTGGACTAGGCTCTGCTTCAACTGTCCAGCTTCAAAACACCTTTGTAAGTAATGCAGAAAGGCAAGGAGGTGAAAAACCAAACTGCTTCCCTGGGCAGTGCGTTGGCTTCGTGCCCCCTTAATTTATGGGGGGGGGGGAGGTGTGCCAAAAAACATGTATACATGACTTGTATTTTTGTTATGGGTATATATTGAGTATTACATTTTAATACAGTTTTTTCCTTTCTTGAAATGTGTATACATTTTTTGGCACACTCTGTAGTCTGGCCTTGTGTCAGGGTTGCTATTGTTTTTTCAAAAATACCCCCCCCCATTCCCCTGGGACGTGGCTCCTTGCCCCTGAAGTCTCCCAGATACCTGGCAGTTAAAAGTATAAAGTCACCACTTATCTTTTGGTCACCATGAAATAGAAGGGAGCAGAGAAATCATTGATTATAAACCTTTTTTTCCTCCAAGAGAAAAATGTTTGAAAAAATTTAGAAAGATGACCTACAAGGAAAAGTCTTATAAAAGTCTATTAACAGCTTAATGATTGAGGACAAAGATTTGAAATGAGATACCTGGGTTCAAGTAGCTGTTACAACACTGTGACCTTGGACAAGTAAGGCAGCCTTCCAGAACCTATCCTCCATTTTCTCCTATAAAGAAGAGGGTAATGTAATTACTGGGCTAAGCTTCTTGAGATTGACTGACCAAGGCCTATAATGCTCACTACTGAATTCTCAGTGCTTAGCCAAATGCCCAGACAAATGGACACTTAATAAATGGATGAATGAAGGCCTAGTAGTACAGTGAGGATTAAATGAGACAGTGTCCGTAAAATGCCTGGCAGATATTTAATTATCAAAAAAGTTAACTTCTGTTATTGTTAAACAAAATTATTTAGGAGGAAATGTAGGTATAAAGAGGCTTTCCATTTTGGGTTAATTTTCCACACATTGTTTCCTTTATACGGTTAACGGATTTTGCAGAGTTAGTAATGTTCCCTTGCTCCTTTTCCTGAAAATTCATATCCTTTTTTGATTTTTTTAAATATTGAAAACCATCACAGAATACTCAATTAAAGCATAATATGTCAGAAAAGACAAGCTACTGGTAACAGTTGCCTTCCCCTTTCCCTCTTTAATTCCAGTATTGTGACTTGTTAATTGTGCAAATATCACAATGTAAAGATGGCCCTTTCTTAATTATTTTGTTTGTTTGGGAACATGACAGCACAGAATTTGATCTTAAACTCTAGCCTTCTTATTTGGGAAGAGCAAGGTTTTAAGCTCCAAGTCACTTGATGATTGAATATCCCTTAAATTGTTTTCTGTTCAAGGACCATCAGAGTGAATTTGGCAAATTAGTACTCAATTAAAAACCACCAGCTGGAAAACTCAGTGTCTAAAACAAAAGTATTTTTTATATGTCAAAGGAAATATTTAAAACATTATATGCTTTTCATTCACTTTGCAAAACCTCTCTGGGTCTGTCTAGCTCGTGGACCTTCTGTGTAAATTAATTCTCCTTTCATCATTTTGTTCTCAAGTCATTTGCAGCAAAAAGTCGTTGAGTTAAATCGTCACCACTATCAAGAATATTATTCTGTCCTATAACTTATAGAGGAGGAGGCCACAGCATAAACATAGAGGAAGTAATAGATTTACTCTCTTAGCAACTTTTGAATATGTAATACAGTATTATTAATTATAGTCTCCATGCTGTACTTTTTACATTCTCATGACGTACTTATTTTATAGCTTGAAGTTTGTACCCTTTGCCCTCTTCACCTATTTCACAAAACCCAACCTCATGCCTCAGGCAACCACCAATCTGATCTCTGTACCTATGACCTTGGTTTTGTTGGGTTATTTTGTGTTGTTTTTTTTAGACTCTACATATAAGTGATATCATATGGTATTTGTCTTTCTCTGTCTGACATTCCACTTGGCATAATGCCCTCAAGGTCATCCATGTTGTTAAAATGGCAAGATTCCATTCTTTCTTATGGCTGAGTAATATTCCATTGTGTATAATACCACATTTTCTTTATCCATTTACCCATCAATGGACACTTAGGTTGTTTCCATATCTTGACTATTGTAAATAATGCTGCAGTGAACATAGGACTGAATATACCTTCTTGAGTTAGTATTTGCATTTTCTTTGGATAAATGCCCAGAAGTAGAATTTCTGGACATTTATTTTATTATTATTTTTTTTTTTTTAGATGAGCCATCCTGCCACCTGTTGGCAGCTCAGCGGCAGTTCAGCTCGGGCCGGGCATCAAACCACTGTTGCTCAGAGCTCACACTCTTGAGCGAGCTCTTAATGAACTGAGCTACTCGGCCGGCCCTTGCTGGACATTTTATTTTATTTATTTATTTATTNGGGGCGCGGAGCGGGCCGTGTTGGGGGTGGGGAATAAGCGCTAGGGCCACAGCTTGAGCTGTGAGGCTCCCGAGAGCTCCACCACCAGCCCCTGCTGTTTTCTTGTGCTTTGGGAACGCGCTTTTTTTTTTTTAGATTGACTGTTTTATCCTATTTAGGGGAGCACACCTCTTTCTTAACCCCCGACTAGGGGAGTGTCTCCTTTCTCTAGTTTTGAAAATGTGGGTGGTGTACCCCCTTTTTGAAGCTCGAGCCCAATTTCCAAAGCCCCCCAAACAGGATGTAACCCTTTCCCCAGGCCCCCACAAACTGGGAGGACACTTCCTTTTTCGAGCATTCAATCTGAGCAAGCGCTCCCTTTCAAATTTGGAAGTTTGCCCCATTAACGAGTCTCTCAAATCTGGAGTCCAGTAACCAAAGTTTTGGGGTACTTCTGTTTCCAGAAATCCAAGAAAAAATTTCTCTCCCACGCTCCAAATATGGCAACATGCTATCCAGAATTTCTTAAATTTAGGGGACACTTTCTTTTTGCAAATCTGGGGTGCACCTCATTTCTAGACACTACCGAAAATAAAATCCAAATCCTGAAGTTTAAGAGTACATATTTGCAATTACACAAATAAGGGAATTCGCTGCTCTTTGCGGTCACTGTTTTTGGATTTGTACCCTTTTTCATGAGTTCCCCAAATCAAACTGCCTTATTTCCTGGGGGAGACTTATTTTAATGTCTAAAAGTATATTTGTACCCCCAAATGTACAGAATGCACCGCTTTTGGTTGCACAGTTCTCAGGGTGCAGTAACCTTCCTGATGCTTCTTAAATCTGGGAGGGCACACCTTTTTTCTGAGTCCGATCATTACCAAACCATTGTCCATGGTTCTTGAGCTTTTCTGCCATCCAAGACATTTTCTTTCCTCAATTTCCTTCCCTTTTTGGAACCCCATTTCCATTTAGGTGCTTTTCCTGTCTGGTCAGTGCACCCATTTCCTCTTCCTTTGATGAATGGGCATCTTTAGCACAGCACTTTCTCTGCTTCTAAGGCCTTTTTTTCTGAGCACACTTCCTATAGTCACACCTCCTGAATTCCCCTCCCCTAAGGGGAGAATCCCCCTTCTAAAGGGGCGACTGCATGTTTTCTTTTTTATATCTACTTTATCTTTTTCTGCTTTCTGCTAACAGGAACGCTCTTCTTTCTTGGCTTGCTCTATCCCCAGGCATTTTTCTGGTTTCTAACTCTCATTGGACACGGCTCTGCTTACTGGTGGCTGTAGAGATTTTCCCCTTTCTTCCCCTGGCGCTCTAGGTGGCCTCGAGTCCAGGACTGCCTGATGCCCCAAGCGCTGGATTTAAACTGGAAATGAATCCCCTCTCATTTCTTTGGTTATTTACAGGACTCTTAGTCCTCCTGGTGGTTTGCTTCCTTTACCATTTTGCCTTGATAGGTACTGTGTTATCTTTGCTTTATTTCCCTCAAGAAATTCTTTTAGTCTTGGTTTCAGTTAATAAACTTCCTCCCTATATGGGCTTTCTTCCTTCCTTTATCAATAAAAGAGGTCATTGGGAGGAACCTCTTAGTCACTCTGTTTGTTCTTGTCCATGGGGTACAGGTGGGGAATGGACTTATCTCTCCCTGTCATCCTTTCACATATCTGCCAAGCCTTTCTCACAACCCTCACCTTAAAATCTACAAATATCTGGGCCCTCTTCTCTCGTTAAGAGCCTCTCAGTAAGTTCTTTTGTATTTTCCCTCTGCCTTTCCAGGGCTTCTCTGCCTGAGCCCCTAACCAGATTCATTTCTCCACAGCTGGACTCCCAAGTGCTTATGGGATAATGATGCCTCTGACCTTTCTCCTTTTTTAGGAAGTACTTTAGTGTGCAGCTGTATGAGGGCCAGTGGAGGAGAGAGTTTGGGCCTGAGAAGCTATACTGGCAGGACAAGGCAGGAAAATACTGCATTTTTAGGACCACATCCTTCTGAATGTTATTTGGAGATTGGACGTTTGCCAAGCACCTGCTTCTTAGGGATGCTGGGGGATATAATGATACTCCCAGGAACCT